TCCATCGAAGTTCAACCGCCATGACTGGTCACCCTTTCTATTCTCCAGCAGTAAAAGTTGCTCTTCGGAGCCGTCGGAAGGTTCCATTTCCTCGCTCACTTAAAAATTCACTTGTATAATTGAAAGCAAAATTGTAGTGTGCAAATGTAGTGAAAAATCGAAGGGTTTTTTGGGGAATAATAATTATCTGGTTGCCGATGGCGGAATTTTCCCAACCAGAAAGGGGGGAACTGAAGATGACTTTATATATTATTGTGTGGATATTGTACGTACTCGCTACTCCATTGCACTGTTGGTCCACGTATGAAACCTGTGTTAACGTGGCAGGATGCGATGATGACGTGACTGGATTTGATGGCGGGGAACGTGTACGGTTAGGATGAGAATTAAAGCGATTGATGCGAAATCACGGAGTGGATTATCGTTACGAAAACTGTTATTCTGGGGCGTACAATTCGCATATTGGTGGGTCTCAACATCTTTGGTACGTCACTTGCATTTTTATTTTATTTTCCTAAAAGTTTGTAAAATTGATACTTGTAAATTTTTGAAAATAAATATTATTTAAAAGTTAAAAGAAAGTCCCGTTTAACAATTATTATTATTTCAAAATTCTTTAATTGTCATAATTATCTCCGATCATATATTTACATAATGAAATATTTTTAAAGTAAATTCAAAATTTTTTCCTATTTTTTAATCTCATATTCTTTAAAAAAAAATAATATTCAAAATTCAAATTTCTCAAAATAATGACCCTCAAACATAGGCTAAATATTATTTAAAAGTAAATTTATATCTTATAAGCCCAACCAAAAATGCTCGTGACTTGCGCATAAAAGAGGTAACAAGAAGTGCAATCCAATGAAATCTTAATTTTATCTATTCAAGACAATATGACATTATTAAATTAAATTCATGTTTGTCTTCCGTTCTTTTAAAACTCATTTTTCTACATATTTATTTTTAATTACACGTTCATACATAAAATATTATATATGTAAATCAAAAAAAAAAAATCATATTTTTTAATCACACATTCTC